CCAGCTTGGCTACCTCCCCTACCACACACTAAGCCCCTCCTACCAACAGCTGGAAGGAGAGTTTGGGACAGTTGCCTGGGACACAGGGAAGGCCTAGGCCCTCCCTTCATCTGCAACCCTGAGGAGACAGGCCAAGCCAACTTGATGGCCAAGCCAAACTCAGCCTGACGTGGCCCCTGCCTTCCCCCTGCAACCCTCTGCCCCCACCACACCAAACCACTTTCAGTTCTCTGAAAACCCAAGCCGGCTTCACTGGTTGCTGTGCGTGCCCCCTCTGCCTAGAATAGCTGTCTCATCCCCCGTCTGACGCTGATGCCTCTCCTTTTCCTGCCCAGAGGACTCTGGACGCTAGATCACTGCAATTATCACCCTACAGTTTTGACTTGCCTTTCTCCCCAGCTAGGTAACAAACTCTTGGGATTATGTGCCAAAACCCCCAGTGCCTAGAACAGTGCCTGGCACGTAGTACCTGCGGCCGTCAAGTCGATTCTGACTCATGGCGACCTCATGTGTTACAGAGTAGAACTGCTCCATAGGGTTTTCTTGGCTGTAATCTTCACAGAAGCAGAATGCCAGGCCTTTCTTTTGCAGCACTTCTGGGTGGGTTTCAGCCACCAACCTTTAGGTTAGAGGTTAAGTGCAAACCATTTGTGCCACCCAGGGACCTTTAGCACATAGTAGGTGCTCAATAAATACCTCTTGAGTGGATGAGTAGACAGACATATACAGACACAGTCAGAGAGATAAGACACAGACCCACTCATGCTTTTCCAAGTCTCAGTTTCCTTATCTGTAAAAAGAATAGTAACTCCCTTCAAGGCTAGGGATGATGGACATAATATATGTGGAAAATGCCTAGCATACTACATGGCACCTAATAAATGACTACAGAGCAGAGACAGCAGCAAACCCACACGGAAGAAACCCTCTTCTTAAACATTACCTGGCCTGGGGAGCTCACTACCTTACCTGCTGTGTGGCTCACATGGTTTAAAATGTCTCTCTCCAGCACCCACCCATACAGCGGGCTCACTCCAGAGATCTGTCCTGCAAACTAGGTGACAAGGTAATGAGCTGCTTATCCAGCCATCCTGCAGTCTCAGGTTTACACCAGCTTGTTCCTGTCACCTGAGAGACAGCTTACTGATCCTCTGCTTCCCTGAGCCAGTGGCCCCACAGCCCCCATTGGGTCAGCAATGAGGGAGCAGGCTGGCCTAGAAGATAAGGTTTCGATTTCTCTGCATGTGGAGCCCCAGCACATTCTGTCTTCCGTTTTCCTTCCCCATCATCTCCCATCATCCCCTCTGACCAGGCTGGGGTCCTCTCCCTCAGAGCTGCTCTTACTCCCCGCCACTGGGGAAGGGGGGCTGGGAGCTCCAGGCCCGCCTGGCAATGACATCTGTTCTACATCTGGAGTTCTGTGTCAAGTCTGGTTGCTGTACTTCAGAGACAGTGAGAGCTAAACAGGAGGAGGCGATGGGGGTGGGTGGAGGAGGGTGGATTCCAGAGCCCAGACAGATGACTGAGGGGGGCCAGGCTCAGAGCTCATAACATCTCACTGGCAGGGGGCTGCAGAGAGGGTGGACTTGGGTATGTGTCTACCAAATCCCAGGAAAGGGTGACTTCTCCAACCTGGCAGTATAGCCTCCAAGAGCCAGGCGTCCTGGGGGTAGACCCAGCTCAGTCCCCATCCTATTCCCTGACTTTGGGAAGCCACTTCCCTCTTATGGGCTCAGCTTTCTCATCTGTAAAATGGGGTCAAGCTAAAATTATTTCTAAATTCCTTTCAGTGCTAACATCAGTGGTGCTCTAATTCTGAGATTACTTAACTTGACAGAGGTACTTCTAGGAGCAATGAAAGGAAATGCTAATTCAGAAGTAAATGTGTGATTAATTGGATCATGAAAGTACATCAGTATATATAAAGGTTTAGCTAATGCCTGGATAAGATTCACTATTCAGGGAAACTTGCAGCGTTTGACCCGGTTCCTAACGTCAGAGATAGGGTCAGAGAGGACTACTCCAACTGACTGAGACAGCTCTTGGAGTACCTGGCTGAGAAAAAACTGGGCGAGGGGGTTCCTGCGTGAGGAGGAAGCAGCTCTCAGGTTCTCAGAACCCTCCTGTTACTCACCTCTGGCTTCCCAACCACCCAGACTCTGACTTGGGTAGAAGGGAGAGTTATACTTCTTGCACGTGGTGAACGTGGAGAACTCAGCTTTCCACCCTCCCAGACAGGAGTCCCAGTTCCCAATCCCTGACTCATATCCAGACACTGTCTTCACCCCATCCTCAGCCCTTCATTCTGCCCGGTGTTGAGGCTGCTAAAGCGTCCATTATGTTTTACTTCCCTCTCCCTCACCCCATACCAACTCAGTCTATGCTCAAGTCCTACTGCCTCTAGTCCTTACATATCTCTAAAATCCAGCCACTCTGACCACCTCAGCTGCCACTATGTTAGCCGCTACCATCCTGTCTTCTAGATTACTACCCCAGCCTCCCAAGAAGCTGGAGCTTCCTGCCTCCACCTCTGCCCAATCGATTCTCCATACTGGCTGGAGCGAGTTGATGCAAAGCTGATCTTAAAATCTGCCAACGGCTCATGGCGGCTCTCAGGCCAGAAACCTTGGTGGGGCTTCCAAGACCCTTCATGAGTTGCATCCAGTCCCCCTCTTCAGCCTCCTCTCTTGGTTCTCCACGGCCCTTGTCCCCTACTTCCCTCATGCGCCCCCCCACCCCCTTTACTCCGGACTCCAGTCAGGCTGAGTTTCTTTCAGGTTAAGGTAAGTCCCCTCTGAGCATTTGCACGTGCTGTCCCCGCTGGAAAACTTTGCCCACCACCCTTCACTCCTCTGCAGAGCTAACTCGCCTCTACATTTAGCTCTGTTATTCACCATCACTTCCTCCAGGAAGCCTTTCCTGACCTCCCCAGCCTGGCTTAGGAGCCGCTCCTCCCAGCATCTTCCACAGCGCTGCAGGGTACTAGTTTACTGTCGGTCTCCCCCGGCACCACCAGACTGAAAGCTTTGTACTAGGAACCACGCTGGCCTCCTTATTTGCTATATTCCAGGCACCAGGCACATGCTCGCCTATAAAAGGTGCTCAGTAAATATTTGCTGAATGAATGAATGAATGAATGAACGACCTCGATCTAGATCATGTGGCTGATCAGAACGCTACAGGCTTGTCCCCAGGCCTGCTGAAGCTTTGCACAAAGGGAGTGGGACCTAGGGAGAGCAAAGTGGTCGCTTTAGCCACACACACTGCAGCCAAGGGGGCCCAGCTCCAGCCCTGCCTCTGCGCTGTGCACTCTGTGGCAGGCAGAGGCCAGGTCTCGGAGGCAGGGAAGCTGAGCCCCTTGACAGAGGCTCCAGCAGTACTGAAGAACGCGGGTGCGGTTCCTAGTCCTGATCCTGCTTTGCTGGACCCTGAGCTCGGTCCTGGAGCTCCTGGGGGTGAGAGGGGGCAAAACTATTCCTTCATCCCCGGGGCTCCAGGAGGACAGATGCCTCTCTGACACTTCCCCGCCCCTTTCACCTGACAACCCCGGGCCCCCTACTCCTCTGCCCAGCCACCCCGACCCTGCCCCAGGGCAGCCTCCAGCAGCGGACGAACGCCGAGTGGAAGGTCAGGACTGGAAAGGGGCGTGTCTGTGCTGGGAGAGAAGGGGTCCCAGCCGCTCCCGGCACTTTCCCACACGTTGTTTGGGTTTCTTGGAGATGGGCTTGGGGCCGGCGGGGCTGAGGCTCATTCCCCCGCCACCCTCCCTGCCTCCCTCCCACGTGGCCTGGCTGAGTCTCTCTGGAAAGCCTCAGCAGCTGGAAAGAAATCCCCCTCCCCACCCCCTTCTCCAAGTCCCTCCCCGACTCGCCCCGGACACAACCTCAGCTCCCTCCTCGGCAGGGGGAAGGCAAGAAGGAGGCGAACAAAGCGGGCAGCCCATCCCCCCTCCCCAGCCCCACCACCTACTCTCCCCTTGGGCCGCCCCCCAAACGCACACAGGACAGAAAGCAAGACGGCTAGGGGTGGAAGAAGGAGCCCTGGACACACATACACACACACTTTAGGACTTCGTCCCCTCCCTCCACCCCTCCCCGTCCGTCCCCAGCCCTTCCTTCAGCTGGACAACTCTGACCCTTACCCCCCACCCACCCCGCACTGGAGTGGGGGACTGGATGAGGCTTTACGGACCTCGTCCAGGCTTCCCTGATCGGCCCCGGGGGTGGGGCAGGAGTGACACGCGTCCCATCCCGAGAGCGAGTACTGGACATGTCCACGAAAGCAACTGGTTTTCTGCCCCCTCCCCCAGTCCACTCCTGGCCACGAATTTGGGGAGCAGACCTCCCCTGCCCCAACCAGCCCCAAGGACCACACCCACTGGGCAAAGTTGAGTGTTGTTTTATCACCCCCACCCCCGTCCGGAATCTCCCGCTTCGGTCCCCCACCACGGGCAAGGACACTCCCCTAAAGCCAAGGCCAAATACTAGCTCAGCCCCAGAAACACAATTACACACCCGACCCAAATGGAGGTGTAGACACACCCCCCCACACCCCTTCTCTTTCTCACCACACACTCTTAACCCGGAGAGACGCGCGGACAGAGCCTGAACCGCGCAAGCCACCAACCCCGCAGCCACCCGCCCCGCCGATACCATGCCGTGACCGTGACACGCACTGCGGACACGTACGCCCGCGGGAGTCCCCCTCCCACAAATACACACACACACACGCACACACACACACGCACACACTCCAGACTCCGCAAACCAAGGACACACACCCCCTGCGGACAATACGTGCCGCAAACACCCCCGGCTGCAGCTCGCAGACCCCCACAAGCAGGCATCTCAGGCACAAGGACGCGCAGCCCGCGCCCCACGGCCCCCGCGCTCACTCGGGACGCGGGACCCACGCTAGCCCCACAGCTCAGCGCAGCCCGGGGTGCGGGCGCACACACACGCCGCCGCGGCTCCCGCCTCTGCTGCGGCGCCCACCCTTACCGCGCGCGGCCAGCAAGCAGAAGGTCAGCGCGATGAGTCCGCGGCCGCTGCGAGCGTCCCCCCGCGCCATGGGGCT